ATACCACTTCCTTATTTTTTCTTTTGTTGCCTTTGCTTTTGGTGTCAAATCCAAAAAATTAACACCAAGAACAATGTCAAGAAACTTTTCCTCATGTGTTCTTCTAGGAGTTATATAGTTTCAGGTCTTATATTCAAGATTTTATTTTTATTTTTATTTTATTTTATTTTATTTTATTTTATTTTATTTTATTTTATTTTATTTTATTTATTTACTTTACTTTATTTTACTTTACTTAATTTGTGGGGTGGAGCAGGAGGGAGGTAATTAGGTTTACTCATTTATTTCTTTTTAGAGGAGGTACTGGCCTAAGATGTTGGTAAGGCCACTGTTTTCTTGCTGATTTTCTGTCTGGATGATCTATCCATTGATGAAAGTGGGATTTGCTGTCTATTTCTCTCTTTAGGTCTGTTAATATTTGCTTTATGTACTTAGGTGCTTCTATGTTTAATGCAAAATATTTACAAATGTTATATCCTCTTATAGGATTGACCCCTTTATCATTATGTAATGCCCTTCTTTGTTTCTTATTACAGTCTTTGTTTCAAAGTCTATTTCATTTGCTATAAGTATAGCTTACCCTAGCTTTCTTTTGATTTCCATTTCATGGAATATCTTTTTCCATTATTTCACTTTCAGTCTCTGTGTGTCTTTACATAGAAGTGAGTTTCTTGTAGGCAGCATATAAGATAGGTCTATAGAGGTACATTATAATTAAAAGATTAAAAAGTTAAAGACGAGAAGAGAATCTTATAAGCAGGAAGAGAAAAACAACTTGCTACCTACAAGGGAAATGCCCTAAGGCTATCAGCTAATTTCCAGCAGACACTTTGCAGGCCAGAAGGAAGAAGCATGGTATGTTCAAAGTGCTGAAAGAAAAAACTTTCAGCCAAGAATTCTCTACACCCAGCAAAGTTTCCTTCAGAGTTGAGAGAGAAAAAGCTTTTCAGACGAGCAAAAGCTAAAGAACTTTATCACCACTAAACCAGCACTACAAGAAATGTTAAAGGGACTTCTTTAAGTTGAAAAGAAAGGGCATTAATTAGTAACAGAAAAACATATGAAAGTATAATCTCACTGGTAAAGGTATACATAAGTATATAGTAAAATTTAGGATAATCTAATATTGTAAAGGTGGTGGATTAATCACTTATAAAGCTGAAGTATGATGTATGAAGGTTAAAAGACAGAAGTAGTAAAAATAAAACTACAATAATTAGTTAAGGAATACACAAGATAAAAAGGAGTAAAATATGACATCACAAATAGAAAACGTAGTTGGGAGAATAAAAATGTATAGACTTTAAGAATGTGTTCAAAGTTAAGTTGTAATCAACTTAAAATAGACTTTTTAAATATAAGTTGTTATAGCTAAGCCTCATGGTAACCACAAAGCAAAAACCCATAGTAGATACACAAAAGATAAAGTAATCTAACTAGACCACTAAAGAAAATGATCAAATCACAAAGGAAGCGAGCAAGAAAGGAACAGAGGAACTACAAAACAGTTGAAAGCAATTAACAAAATGGCGATACATACATACATATGCATAATTAATTTAAATGTAAATAAACTAAATTCTCCAATCAAAAGGCAGAGAGTGGCTGAGGATGTATTTTTAAGTAAAAGCAAAACAAAAACAGGTTTTAGAGCAGTATAGATAGGATGCATTTTAGCTCCTCTCCAAAGAGAAAACAAATGTGCACACACACACACATATGTACACACATCTGTGTATAAATGTATAGGAGGTCTGGGAGACACACAGCGCTTACTTTTGATGAAACAGAGGAGTGTTATGGGTTGAATTGTCTCTCCCAAATTCATGCGGAGTCCTAATCTCTTTCCTCAGGATGTGAGCTGATTTTGAGGACAGGTCTTTACTAAGGTAATCAGTTAAAATTAGGCCATCAGAGTGGGACCTAACCCACTATGACTGATACCCTTATGAAGAAGGGCAGTTTGGACACAGAGTCACATAGAGGGAAGATGATGTGAACAGTCCTAGCAAACTAGTACAAGGAGAGTCTCATTTTTATACTTTGTAGTGTATGACATTTTTATTTCTATGTACATTACTTTTATAATAATCAGAGCCCTCCTCCAAAGCTTTTGGGAGAAAAAAAAAAGAATGAGAAAAGAGACAGAATGAGAGGAAAAGAGAACAAGGCATGACTATCATGTAATTGGTTTTATTCCGCCTTTATAAATTTGCAGAGGCTGCCTCCTACTCTCTGCCCCCCAGCCCCACCCCCACCCGCCCCCAGCCCCAGCCAGCGCTGCCCTTTAAGTGGTCAGCTTGCTTCAAAAGAGCCACGAGCACTGGTGGCTGCTCTAGCTAAGGAGATGGGAGGGCCCTGATTTGCAAGGTCACAACTGGTATCTGGTGGTGCAAGATGTCTCCAGGGTCCTCTCCTTTCATTCCACCCATCTGGTTCTGGCCCAAACAAACAGACAAAGTGTGATGTTTCTAACCATCTCACCCCACAAATCAGAAAGCCCAGCAGGCCTGTAATAAGACTGCCTGCAAGCAGCTGGCATGCTTTTATAAACTTTGGCCCCTCGTTCTCATGGATGGCACTGTGACTGCTTGCTCGAAAGCCACGCTAAAATAACAAACCACCCGAGTCTCTGGAAAGCAGAAGTCTTCCAACAACACTCTTTCCTGTGGGAGGATCTCCTGATTTCCTGGGGAGTGTGTGTGTGGGGGGCCCACTGTTAAGGGTGGGTGGCAACCAGCAGTAGGAGAGCAGCAGGGAGAAACAGGGAGTCAAGGACGCTGACTAACCCCAAAGGCTGCAGGAGAGGGGCTGCGGGTTCAGGGCGGCAGCTCCTGTGCATTGGCTCCTGAGCAGTCAGCCTGCCTAGTGCCCCCCTGCAGCCTTCACAGAGGCTGTTGAGGTATCTGGGAGAGCCAGCGAGGAATCAAAACCTAATTTAAAATTGCAGAGAGGTGAAGAAAAAGAAATCTCAACATACAGGTTGTAGGTCTAGATACTTACAAATACCCACGATGGCGTCAGCCTCCTGTGCTTCAGAAAAAGTTGTCCTCTCTGGTTCTCGATGCCTTGTCAGAAGAGAGGAGGGACTGAGGAAGGAAGAAGCATTCCGTGCACTGCACTCTCACTGTAGCGTGAACTGTAATCATTTAACCTGGTGGCATGCTGAGGGTGGGTGTTATCCCATTTGTCCTACCTGGGGAAACTGAGCCTCAGAACAGTGACATCACTTGCCCGAGGACTGATGGTAGTAATGGCAGAAGACTGTCCAGCGACCGAGTTAATGTGGTTGCTCTACGTCTGCTTCCTCACCTGTAAAGTGGAAGTGAACCCTCTACTCTGCAGAGGGTTAAAGATGATGGATGTAGTGAGCCCAGCTCCTGGCTAAGCATGCAGAGGACCAGATGACAAGCTCATCCTGAGGTAGCCCCATGGGCCCAAGAGAGCAGGGAGGACTGGGTGAGGCTCTTGCTTGGTGCCCACTTTTCAAGCCCACAAAGAGGGAGCAGGTGAGCAGAGCTACCAGTGAGTCCGGGAAAGGACCTGGGCTGCGCAGTTTCCTGGTTTGGTCCTTGCCTCACGTGATTGTGGGTTACCTTAGTAACCGATGCTTTCTAAGCCTCAATTCCTCAAACTTAAGCAGGATGATGGGAGGGACACGCCTCGCAGGGGGATGAGGGTCAGGTAAGACCTGAGGGCTCCTGCCCCCTGCAGCTCTGGAGGTGCCTTTCAAGTTCTCCTCTCATTTGAAAAAAAAAAATGAGAGCAATTTATTCAGGATTAATTGTCATAATAAATAAATGCATGTATTGTCTTGGCAGATAAATTTTTACTTCACCAATTCTCCCGCAGATCAATCACTTGATTCCATCAAACTTCTTGAAAACGTGTTTTACATTTGATGTTTTTATTTCTTCCATGGTGACTCTTCACCCCACTATAATCTGGCTTGTGCCCCTCCTACTCTAATGAAAGAGCTTTCATGAATCTAACAATCTTTATTTTGACCTATCAATGGGTATGTTTTTTTTAATTCAAGTATAGTTGATTTACAATGTGGTATTAGTGTCTGGTAGACAGCATAGTGATTTAGTTATGCATATATTCTTTTTCATTATAGGTTATTACAAGATATTGAATATAGTTCCCTGTGCTATACTGTAGGATCTTGTTTATTTTGCATACTGTGGTGTGTATCTGCTAATTCCAAAACTCATCTATCCCTCCTTCTGATAATCTCTTAATTACCAATCTTCATGGTTAGTTTCTCTCCTCAGACGCTCTAATTTCTAGCATCTCCTGTTGCTTTTCACCTTTGTTGGTGGCTTGGAAAAGTGGACTTTTGGGAAGAGTTGAGACTAGGCTGGAGGGGACCCTCTACATGTCTCTTTTTAAGACCCCCACTTGTTTCTCTAGAGAAGGCGCTGGAACTTTCTCTGTGAACCCTTAGAAGACCCACAAGACCCTACACTTTCCTTCCTCCAGGAGATTGTCCCTGTAACTTTTGAACATCCGAAGAGCCCATTAGGAACTGAAAGTGGGCCAAATACCACTGCAATCGAACCGCTCTGAGACCAAGGATCTTGCGGTTTTAACAACTATGTTCTGTGAGAAACTGTCTTCCGAATTCCACGCACACGCGCGCGCGCGCGCACACGAAAGCTTCAGCAGGAACCAGTGGAAAACAACTGAGAGGAAGTACAGCTGTTCCCTCTGAGGAGCACGTGTGGGGGAAGCCAGGCCGCGGAAGAGGGGGTGTTCCCCGGGCGGCGACACGCAGCATTCTTTTCACTTGAGGCATCCGAGCCCGAGGAGCGGCAGCCTCCCCGGGGGAATATGACATAACCACGGGCGGGAAGGGCCTCACAAAAAACAGGCCGGTGTCCACACATCCTTCTCCAGAGGAAACCCCTTCCCATCCTGTGTGCGAGAACTCCCACGTCCGCAGGGGCTCACCCGCCACCCCGTCTCCAGCTGGACAAAGAGCCCGCAGCCAGCCCTCAGATAGGATGTGTTTGTATTTACACGGTACATTTTAAAGCAATGGCTACATTGGTCATACATATTAGAAACCATAAAAAAAAGTTAAGAACTAAAATGTACATCATACACTTGTATATATATTTTTTACACAGAGGTAAAAAGGCTTATTATAAAAAAATCAATACAACGGGGTTTTTAGTATACAGGTAAAGAATGAATTATGCTTCAGGCACTTTAATTTGTTAATGTGAGCAAACAGCTTGGTGGAGGGGGCGGGGACGGGGGTCGGTGGGGGAAGCTTCCAAACAGAAAATCTTTTGGTTAATGTTTTGTTACCACAGATACAAAAATAAAATCTGAATAATTTCTCTCAGATGATTGACGTCAGTATGGCAAAGCTGACTGGGAAAACACTGCACGCTGTTCAGCTGCAGTGTGGCAATTAGAGAGACGTATTTACATAAATGTCCCCATGGCTGGGCTGTCCTTGTGCCCTTAACCGCTGCCTTCTTCACAAACCAAAAAGGATACGCGGAGTAAGACTCACTAGCGTTAACTCTTCAAAGGGGTGGAAGAGGACAAGGGGGAAAGGAAGATAAAAACAGATAACGACTAACTAGCGGTGACAAACAAAAAGCGGCCGGGGTATGTGTTCTTCTTACTGAAATAAATAGGGGCACTTGAACTGCGGTCGAACAAAACATATATTAGTGTTGTGCTTTGTAGAGGAGACCTTGAGAAAGGGCCTGAGGAAACGCCTCAGGTCTGGGGAGAAGATGGTCTCTGAACAATGTCTTGAGGCTGCTTGAAGGTTTTCTAGATGTTCTCCAGGCTGGGAAGCGGCTCTCTTCTTGCATCACCAGATTGACAGCTCGCTGCTCCTGTCCCAAACCGGAAGGCAGGCCCAAGCCAGCCACTCCAACAAATGAAAACATCTACAACGGAACTGGTAAGCACACTGGGTATTTACATGGATGATCTGATAAAGAAATGCGATGTGCTCTCAGGCAAGCTGAAAGCATTCCCATGAAGGTAAGCGTGCCTAGCACTGTCCCAACACGACTGGCAGCCTGGAAAAAGAAAACAGTCCCTTTCCTTGAAGACTGATGTCCTGTGTGCAACAGAGAAGGGATGGGGGCGGTGGGGAGAGAGGGATCGGGCCGTGCCCTGAGCTGGCAATTACCACAGGAAGATCATGGCAGGAAGATCCGCCAGCGTTGACAAGCCTGTCCCCTAGGGTCTCCACGACATTCTGATTGTACTATGCTAGATACAGGTAACAACCACGCTCCACTTTTCTTTCTGCAGTAAGATTTGGCTATTCCTTGCAATATATTAGAAAAATACTATTTTCCAGCTAATTAGAGGCCTCCCACGTGGCAAGTCGCCAGGTAGACCCAGCCTGCGGACCTAACCATCTGTGCACCCGAAGTGGTAAGTCTGGGTTTGGAGTTGCAGGAGAAAGACACTTAGGCTTTGGAAGGGTTTTTACATATGGCCTTGTTTTTTCCCAAGTATAAATGAAGAATTTGATGACGTGAGATTGAGTCCAAAATGAAGACAAGAACACAAACCCATGAACAAAATGCAACCCACCACTCTTCAAATTGATGACATTTAAAATTTCCCCCAGTTAATAGAAAAATAGCCACTGAGGGGAAAAAGTTCCTATAGTGTTATTTACCACAACCTCACTGTTTCTCAACTGGTCTGGGTTTGGAGAACACCAGTTTGTGTTTGAATAGACGATTTGGTTTGCAAAACCATGAGCAAAATTTCTTACATCATTTGCATTGTCTTCTAATATTGCTAAATTTTTACAAGTGGTGGCGACACAATTTTAAAAAGTTCTACATTAGGGGTAACTGGGGAGGCTCAGAGAAACCTGAAATCCCCCTTCTAGCCCTGGTCCGAGAGGATGCAATGCAGTTTAAAGAATTTTCCTGATTCTCACAAGTTAATCTGAAGTTAAGGCTCAATTCTCAGTCATTTTACAAGTGAATGTTTTGCATCAGTGAATGACGGATTTTTCTGGGGGGTGGGGGTGGTGACAGAAGATGAAGGATGGGCTCAAGATAGAAACTGCAGCTTACATGGGAAGTTTGGTTTCGAAAAGTTAAAGCGATCTTGCTTTGTGGTAGAAGTTTGTTAACTAGCTCACCTCCTGTACAGAATAACTGACTGCAGGTTAAAATACGTCTGGTAGGGTTTCATCATCTGACATCCCATTTCCACAGGAACCCGAGGAAGCAAGTTCGTGAGCAACAGACAAGCTGAACCAAGAGAAAAGATGGCCTTCGGTGCTCTTGGAAAAACCAACAAAAACCCACCAAAAATCAGCAGTACCCACTGCAGGCACCTTTGAACTGGAAGAGGTGGGCAGGAAGGATATGAAATCAGCACAAAGCATGAGACAGTAAGCTTGATTACAGATCGTTAATAACACATCAGCGTCTGCGCGGAGGTTCCCTTCCTTAGAACACTGTGCGTGCGAGCGTGGGTGGCCGGGGGTGCAGAGTCCACCGGGCAGGTTCCCCGGGCCGGAGCGGCGCCTCAGGTACCGGTGAGCGGGGGAGAAGATGAGAGGATGGAGGAGACAAGTTCCCTTGGGGCTGTGGATGGAGGAGGGCGAGGGAGGGAAACCAAGTCACACAGCCGCTTTGTGCTTCCCCCCGCAGCACCTGCACATCACTCCGCAGTGGTAGCAGGCCCGCAGGGGCAGGTAACAGCACATACAGGGGGCCAAGAAAGACAAGGCAATAAGAGCCATCCACCGGAGGCAAAACTTCTCGTCGCTAGTATCGCACGAGCACGGGTCTGTATAGTCTCCCTCGGGGTCCGACATACAGTGATAGAGCATGCTGTCCGCACACCACATACAGCTCACCCGGCGGATGCAAGTTCTCACGGAGTCGGGCGCGTCCTGACAGTGGCCCCTCCGGTTCTCCTCGTGGTTGAACATGTCCCGGCAGTACTCGCACCGGGAGCGCTCGCCGTCCTCCTTCCGCCGCCGGGACTTGCCCCGGGAGGGCTGCGTCTTGATCACGCTGCCCCCGCGCCCTTTGGGGTCCTCGCCGAGGCCAAAGTCTGAGGAGTCCACGTAGGGGTAGTTGTAGTCGTGCTTGGGGACCTCGCCCTTGGCGAAGCGCACGTAGGAGTCCGCGTCCTCTGAGGGGTCCAGGTATTTGCCCCTCACCGGCGCGTGCCGGTAGTCCTCATAGCCCGTCATCCAGATCTTCTCCCTGGGGTTGATGCGCACAATCTCCTCGTCGTCGTCCGGGAAGCTCACCTGGCGGTAGGGCCTTGGTATCGGCTGCCCCAGGAAAAGGAGATGTTATTTTATAGCAGTGGCTAAACCCCTCCCCACCAAAAAACCAAAACCTCCAGTATGCATCTTTCACCTTTACAAAACCATTTCTTATTTTTTCCCGTTTTTTTTCTTTGAAGTATAGTTGATGTGCAATATAAGTTACAGGTGTACAATACAGTGATTCATGATTTTTAAAGGTTAGACTCCATTTATAGTTGTATATTACAAAAGACTGGCTTTACGACTAACCCATCCTGTAATTACTGCATAGCTTGTGGGTCAAAGACGTACTTCAAATTATGAGTTTCAATCCCTTCCCGGGTCAGGAAATCAATTTGATGGGTCGAGACCAGCATTTCCCCTCTTTTTGCTGACGTACTGCCATATATGCAGGAACGTGTACACACTCTTAAGAATAAAGTTTGAATTTTCAGAAGCTGAACATGCCCAGATCAAAAAGCAGAACTCGAGTCCTCCCTAGGACACCCTCACTTCCCTTCAGTGACCTCCCACCCCTGAGGTGATGGTGGTCGCTAGCCTGATGTCTAACAGATTAGTATCACCTGTTTTTGCACAGTACGCACTGTTTTGTAACTGGCTTTTTTTCTTTTTTTTCCCAGTGAAACAGAGGAACACTGGACTGCACTGCATGTTACAAGGTAAGTACATTTCATTATCGTTGTGTATGTAACATGTACACTGGGCCATAATATAAAATGCATGTCTCTCTATGGGTTGTGTTCAAAAAGGCAAAAGGGGATACCAGAAACCATAAGGCTCACAAGTACCTTATAATCTGGTTGGGAGGATAAGATGCTGCGACATGAAAAGGTTCTAGAGGCTGACTGCCTGGGCTCGAATCCTGCCAGGATTTCATAGGTAGTACGTGGCAGAGCTGGAATCTGAGCCTGGGAGGGCCCGACCCAGAGCCATACCCTGTAGCCTCCAAATCCAACCTGTATTCTCCCTTAGGATGAAACAGTCATTTCTGCAGGTGGTCCTGCTAGAGTTGGCATCAGTGCCTTGTCCAGAGCAGCAGGCGCTTGAATAAATAGTTATCGAATGGATACAGGTAAGACTGCCTTGCACAGGGCATCCCAGTTGTGGCAGACAATGATTTTCTGCCTTTGAAGCCTTTGAGTATGAAGGCTTTTTAAGGGGTGAGGAGCATGGCTCTGAGTATGGAATTTACTAGCAAGTCACTAAGCCTCAGACTTGGTTTCCCTGACTATCAAACCATATAGGGCTATTGTGAGAATGAAGAGAGAGAATCCATCTGGTGTCAGCACAGGGCCTGTCATACAGAATGCACTTGATACCTGTTGCCAGGATTGTCATTATAATATTGTCACAGAATTTATCAAATGGCAATTAGATTTACCCACCACTTCCCATCAGACTGTGAGCTCCTTGCTGGCAGGGGCCAAGTCTCACAGGCTTTGCCCTAATTCCTGTCAGATTCTTGATGTCAGAGTTTCCCCAACTTTGGAAAATCACAGTCCTACAGTATTTGCAAACAAATCTTGGGAGCTGACACAGACTCTGCTAATAATTTATTTTACAAAGTACGGAGAGTCAAAAAGTCAAGTCCCATCCACTGCTATCATAATGTGATTTTGATGCCAAAATATTAGGAAATACACAGTAAAATGATTTTGAAAAAAAGAGTCATATAAACCTAGCTTTATGTTTAAAAAAACCCCAGTGCCTCATGCTTTTTCTCTCTTCAAAGTAGAGTGGTGGCCACATCGCCCACAGTTTAGGAACCTGCTCCAAAAAACAGCTGCTTGGTAAATATTTGTTGAATTTCTGAATTCCAGCTATAGCTAAAGCGCCCTGAGCCAGCCTGGGTCTGCAGCTGGCAATGCCAGGGGGCTTAAGCCAAGTGTACAGTATTCTGTTTTTGAAGGGGGATAGTAATTAGGTTTATTTACTTACTTATTATTTTTAAAATTATTTTTTAACGGAGGTACTGGGGATTGAACCCAGGAGCTTGTGCATGCTAAGCAGGCGCTTTACCACTGAGCTACACTCTCCCTACCCCAAGTGTACAGTATTCTGCAGTCTTGAACGCAGCCCTGTGCTTTCACACAAAGCCAGGAGGCCGTTTGGACAGAGGAATGTTGGAGGCAGCAGTGTCCTAGGTGAGCAGAGCCCTGTATTTCAATCTTGTTTCACTAGGGTCTCTCTCTCTCTCAGCCTCAACTTCCTCATCTATAAACTGGGGATGCCGAGGACCTGCCTTATCGGTAATTTGTGAGGGTAAGAGGAGATAAGGCACATAAAGGGTTTGGCCATGTGTCTGAAAATGCACAGAAAACTGAGTAAGGGTGAGCCGCCCCCACCCCTCCAGAGTGGCGGTGTGGACTGCAAAGCAGGAGCCCAGAAGCAGCCCAGGCTCGGGCACGTGGCCGCACAGGAGGGGAAGGAGGCCGTTGCAGAATCGGGAGCCATCCACCCCTTGACCTCCGACGAATGAGCCTGCCGCTCACCTGTTCGAGGTGATAGTGGTCTGTGGGGTATGGGTCGTGGAGGTGGCCCAGGGTATAAATCCTCCGGTGCTCACAGGATGTGGGCGAGGAGATTGTCCGAGTAGGTTGTTCCCTCTTCTGAGACGAATTAGAAGAACTGTCTGTAGCTGTCTGCATAGGAGGAGGTAACCAAGAAGTCAATTTAAAAAAACAAAAACAAAAACCCTAACACACTGTCTACCCTGACTTGTGGCGTCTTGCTGGACTTCCTGAAATCTCGAGTTTATCCTGGCTGTGGGAGGCACAGGACCCCTGAAGGGCCAGATTGTATAAACATGACGGGCAGAGAAACCCAGCCACCAGACCCTGGAAAGGTGGGTTTGTTTTCTCAAATGTGGGAGCAGCGACCGGCGCTGAGGAAGGGCTCACCGCACCAGACCTCCCGCTGGTGCGTTCCAGTTTGATCAAGAATGGTCACCTGTTTGTGGCCCTGGCTGCGAGGTCCTCGAGTGAGCACAGGAGAGGCAAACAAGCAGAAATCAAAGCCATATGTTTCTCTGTGGGTCTAATCCCAGCCTGGGAAAGTCTCAGAGATAAGGATGCGTCAGAGGTATTATGGGTCCTGGCTTTCTAGGAAGGAATTTTGTAATCTTCAGCTTGGAGGCAAGCGTGGGGGGTCACTTTAAACTGGAAGTAAGATGGATGCTTGCAGAGAGGGACGAAGGCCACCATCTCTGGGGGTGAGCACAGATCTGTTTTCCCAGGAGAGGCGACGAGTTCAGTTTGGAGCCTCTGTGAGGGTATCTTTGGAAGGTGATCAGATATCAGGATGCACTGTGGCTGTGCGCAGAGCAGGGGCCTGATCGCCTTTCAATATACCTACCACCTAGGTGCTTCGTGTTCCCAGGTGAGTCCAGGAGCCGCAAGCTCATTCAAGAGCTTTGTTAGATGCAGCTGGCACCAACCTTTAAAACCAGGGCACCTCAGAAACCCCACTGTAACTCCCATTTCCTTACAGTGATGCACCCTTTTTTCTTCTTTTTTTCCCCAGATAAATGAAATGGTTTCCTTGAACTCTAGGTGTCCTATTTGTGGTAAATAACTACAAACTCCTCCTTGGCTGTTGCTCCTCACTCTTAAATTCCCCTTATCTCATTTGCAGATTTCTCTCCTTTTATTTTACTGTTTTTTGTTACTCTCACAGATCCTTTTGGGGGCAAAGCAAGGATCAAATAGACTTAAGAAAGTTATTTTTACCTCTTCCCATTTATAAAGTAATAAATGCTCAGAAAAATGGGATTGCAAGCATTCAGGAAAAAGAAAAGATACCCGTATTTCCATTATGCAGCACAACCACTGTTGGTTTTTTAAAGCTTGGTGGACATGTGTAGTTTGCCTCCGGAAACCCACCCCTCCTGGATTTTTCTTTAATTTTGTTTGGTCCACGTGATGTGGGGCTGAAGCCTGTTTCCAGTCCCACAATCTGTAGTGACTAATTCAGATATGAACACACACAGTCCTATCTGAGGCAATACAGAGAGATTTTTGATGGAGAGGTCAGAAAAGATGCTGTCTCTATCTCTGAAGTTAAGATCTAAGGGCCCCCCCTAAGCCTGGAATCCTAGTGAGGGTGCAGGGAAAGAAACTGCCCGAGGATAAAGTAAAGCAAAACCAAGGGAAGAAGGCCCCCACAGACACCATTTGAGCTTCTGGATCCAGCCAAGCCTGAATCATCACTCACCCTAAGATGGCCCAATGATAAAAGCCAATTCCTTTTGGTAACTTAACCCAGAATGCGTTGGGTTCGTCCCTGGGGTGCACTTTTCCCTCACTCCCGATTCCTTCTCTGTGGCAGCCGTTCCACCTCCACCAGCATCACAGCCCTGGCCTTGCTCTTGCCTTGCTTACTCCTTTCCACAGCAGGCGGAGTGCAGTTGGGCATCCAGAGCCTGCTTCATTCCTTCTCTGCTTCTTGGGAGCCACTCAATCGGCAAATAGCGCGTGCCGGCAATCTTTCTTGGGACAGTGTGGTCCACCTGGAGGTGGAGGGCCCACCGCACTGTGGGGAGGGTGTGGAGACCCACCGCTCATGTGCCTGGTGGGGCAGATCTGTCCAATCCTGGGGTCCAGCCCTGGGATGCCCATTTCCCGCAGATGTAAGCCAGGACTAGTATCATCAGTAATGAAGGGTCTCCCATCATTTTTTTCTCAGTTGATTTGGAGCTCAGATAGGAAAGAGTCACTATTTACCCCTCAAATCCCAGTAACTAAAAAAGACCAAATAGATACACAAGACTTTTTCCTTTCTTCCAAACTCTGCCCTGTCCTCCAGCTCTCACCGACCTTTTCCTTATGTCTTTGGAGGTACTGCCTCCCTCTTTTAACACGTGTGGTTGTAGGTCGACAGCACAACAAAGCAAACAACCCTTAACGGTCTTATATTATGTGAGGGCTTATGATGTGCCAGGCCCTGGCTAAATGTGAACACGACTGCAGGTAAAATATCACGTCCATATCAGACAGGAAAACGGAGACTCCGAGAAATGCAGGACCCTGCCCACCGTGGGGGGGCGGCCCCTGCCCACCAAGCCCAGTGGGATCTCCATGCACAACACCACTGCTTCTCAAGCCCGGGAGAGCCCACGCCCGTGCCTGCTCTGTGTTAATCTCGGTGAAATTAACCCAAGTACAACTTTCCAAGTAAGAAGGTGCACCCTGATGTATACAGTCCCTGGAGATGAGGGGATGGTATCTCGTAACACAAAGGTTTCTACAGATCTCAATAAATACTTTCCACATGAGTAGATAAGGGCTCTTCAGTGTGATTCAAATCTCAAGGGTTATTAAACTCTTATCCAACACCCAAGTGACAGTCACGTCTTAGGTTAGAAGCTACCCTGGGATTGGACACTGTTATATGCACTGTGCATTTGGGTCTCAGAGAGTTAACACATTGTGGCCACCTGTGTGTTAGTCATCTGTTCACCCAAATCCACCCTGTTTTCTGTGACCTATCTATGTCCAGGTTAACAGTGTATGGAACATCATTCTGGGAAATGAGGCACGCCTGGTATTCCTGGTAATCCTCAGCCAATCAAATGCCACCTGCTGACACTCCCATCCTTCCTCCCTGAGCCAGACCAGCCTCTTCCCACTGCAGAGTCAAGTGCAAAACTTCCTGGACAATTTTTGGACAATTAAGAGAATGTGAGACTGAGAAAGACCTTTTGACATCTCCTGATCGGATGACAAATCTGTACAGAGGAGCAGGGAGGCCAAAGGACTGAGGTGCGCCCGCAGTTCACCACCTCCCTTGGGATGTCCCAGCCCAGCCCCCAGCCTCCCGCACCTCACTGCTCTGGGTTTGCCCTGACCCTGGGATGAAGGGCCCATAGGAGAAAGTCCATCAGAAGCCGAGAATCATCTCAGATCTCTGTTATCTGACAAATCCTGCCAAGTGGCGAGTGACCTACCAACAAAAGGGATGTGCTATCAGGGCATCTCCGAGAGAGGCGAGGGGAAAAGCCTCCTTTCACCACATGCCCCTCTGAACTGGTGCCCCCTAACTGCTCGTGAGAAAAGCAGCCCACTAAGCTGTGCACATACGTACATCAACAAGCAAGATTCTAGAACGTGGCTGTGTTACTTGTGTGCACAAGCTAATGACACGCACCAGCCTACCAATCTGACAGCCTCATCTTCGACCTGGAAAGACTGGCTGCGTTTTCAACTTGCCTTGCTGGGGTGGGGGGCGGTGGGGCACCTCGGAACTGCTGCAGGTTTGAGCTCAAGAACACAACCAGAAGTCCTCTGTGCCTGGGGACCTCAGGCTCCTTAGTGGGGTGGCTTCAGCGGCAGGTGTCCCAGAGTCAGAGAGCAGTCAGAGCCAGCCTTTGATGCCACTCACCATGAACAAGGCCAGACACGGCTGTTGCCACCTGGGCGCCGGTACTTGGGGGAGGTCCTGTGCAATGTGATGCAGTGAGCACAACCACTGCCCCTTGTAAATGTACCCTCCAAAAAAACCTACCTCTGGGTTTGACTGTCTCAGTGTCAGTGTTTGCCAGGATTTCCAGCATGATGTGATAGTGGCCCTGTTTTCTTGAACCAGACTTCAATGGGACAATGTCTAATGATTCTCTATTAAATACAAGGTTTCCAGATAACTGGAATGATGATAAAGTTCCAAAAATTTCCTTGTATTCTAGATTGCTAAGGGTTTTCACAGCGAAAGATGTTGGATGTAACCAGATTTTTTTTTGTATCTATTGAGATGACTAGTCTTTCAGCTTTGTTTCATTAATGTCTGAATCAAACAGTTAAGCTTTTCGAATATGAACTATCTTTGCATGCCTGAGATATTTTCTACTCTAATTATCTTTCATTAAATTTGTTGTACACTAAATGTTCATTGATAGATGACTGGATAAAGTAGTTGTGGTATATTTATACAGTGGAATACTACTCAGCCATAAAAAAGAATAAAACAATGCCATTTGCAGCAACATGGATGGACCTAGAGATTGTCATTCTAAGTGAAGTAAGACAGAAAGAGAAAGGAAAATACCACATGATATCACTCATATGTGGAATCTAAGAAAAAAAAAAAGAAAAGGACACTATGAACTCATCTACAAAACAAAGACCTGCAGACTTAGTAAACAATCTTATGGTTAGGGAAAGAGGGTGGGAAGGGATGGATCTGGGAGTTAGAGATTTGCAAATGTTAGCCACTATATATAAAAATAGATTAAAAAAAACCAAAATTTCTTCTGTATAGCACAGAGAACTATATTCAGTATCCTGTAATAACCTTTAATGAAAAAGTATGAAAACAAATATACATATGTATATGCATGGCTGGGACATTGTGCTGTATCAGTAATTGACACATTGTAACTGACTGTACTTCAATTAAAAAAATTTTAAAAATTGTACAAATATTTGATGTGATTTGTTAATATTTTACTTTAAAACTTTACATCTAGACTCAATGAGTTGGGCTGCAGTTTTTCTCTACTTGGGCTATTCTTGCCCAGTTTATAGCAAGGTTATGTGAGTCCTGTACACTGAGCTAGGCAGTGTTCCACCTTTTTCTATCCTCTGGAACAGTATCTTTTTTTTTTTTTTTCAAAATTGAAGTATAGTTGATTTACAATGTTGCATTAGTT